AAAAAAAAAAAAAAAATCCATGCTTAGTACACACATTGTAATAGTTATTTCAATATGCTTCAAATCTGAGCACATGGTATATTATGATTACATTTACGTTTTTCCAACTTCATCTTTCTTGGAATTAATAATTGCCTTTGTTTTGGATTAAGCCTTTCTGTGTACCTATTACCCATGCAAACTCTCAAAATGCTGGAAAACTCTACTCAGTACAAATACCTGAAGTGATCAGTCTGTCAGTCAGTGCACTTTTTGTGTGTGTTTTATTTTTATTATTTTATTATTAAATCATAAGCACATAGACCATGTTACATTAATGCATTTGGCCTCCCTTGTGGAGCTTTCCATCTTCCAGCTCCAGCTGCAGCACCTTGCTCTTGCTCTGTAGACCAGGCACATGGCTGCTGTCCAGAGGACTGCTCTTAGCCATCTTCCTGGGAAATCCTCGCATCAGCTTCCTGAGTCTGAGCTCCTATTTCCTGGATCCCATGTGTTTCTCTTATTTTCTCAGGGGTGCATTTTTCAGTGTCTTCCTGAGTAGGGCTGTTGTGTTGGAATATATTCTTAGGAACATTCTTTATAACATGGCTGTGCTGGGGTGCCATTTAAGTGTAACCCAATGTGAATGGTACCTGCCCCCCCTCTCAAGATGTAAGATGCTTTGACTCTCTTCTTGAGAAAGGGTACATGGGAGGCACATGTTTTCAGAGTATATGGTTCAACCTACTACAATTATTTTATATCTAGTCTCTTAACTTTTTTTTTTTTTTTTGAGACAGAGCCTCAAGCTCTCACCCTGGGTAGAGTGCCATGGTGTCACAGCTCACAGCAACCTCCAACTCCTGGGCTTAAGTGATTCTCTTGCCTCAGCCTCCCAAGTAGCTGGGACTACAGGCGCCCACCACAATGCCCGGCTATTTTTTGGTTGTAGTTGTCATTGTTATTTGGCAGGCCTGGGCTGGATTCGAACCCGCCAGCTCTGTTCTATGTGGCCGGTGCCTTAGCTGCTTGAGCTACAGGCATCAAGCCTGAAGTTATGAACTTTTAAAGATAATTTTTGTTGTACAAAAGTTCAAGTTTATACAAAAGTGGAGATAGTAATATAATAAATTCACTAGTCATTATTGTTTCATATATATTCCCATTCATTACCCCTTCTTGATTATTATGAAGTCAATGTTAGACATCATATAATTTCATCCTTAATTATTTCAGTATGTGTCTCTAAGTCAGTGGTTCTCAACTTTCCTAATGCCGTGACCCTTTAATACAGTTCCTCATGCTGTGATGACCCCCAACCATAAAATTATTTTTGTTCTGAAGTAGCAATGAAAATAATTTTATGCTTGGGGGTCACCACAACATGAGGAACTGTATTAAAGGGTCACGGCATTAGGAAGGTTGAAAACCACTGCTCTAAGTGATAAGGACTCTTAAAATGTATAAATACAATACTATTATTTTATCTTCAATACCAATAATTCCTTAATATCATTCGATGAAGTGATGAACTTATGCTTTTTATAGTTTTTGTTATTAGATGAATGAGTTTTTAAAGATTAAGCCTTAAAACTTCAATAAACATAATAAGCCCATAAGCTAATTCTTTATTCAGTAGTACATTTGGATAAACAGAACATCTATTTTTATATTGATTGCTGCCTAAAGAGACAAAGAAAGACATCTCTTTAAAGCTTAATTCTTTACTTGTCATCATCTTTTTTTTATTTAAAAATTTCAGGTTCTGAATATGATGGAAGAAAATGAAAAAGCAGATAATATTGCAAAATTAGACCAAGAGGAATTTGGCCTGGATCTTGAGGAATTGGAAAGGCTTCATGAAGAAAGTGAGGAAGAAGTAGCAAAGGTATGAAAAAAATTAATTTAAGCACCATAGTTATTATGAAGGAAATAAAAAGAGAATCGAGAAGGGAGCTTTTTCAGAATAATGTGAACATAACAAAAGCTTTTCCAATATAATATGAACAAAGCAAACAATGCATAATTTTTTGAACATGCTAATAAAATAACATTTTTTACCTCCGAATGAGAGAGTGAATTATATCTGGATTCAGGGACAATTAGATAGGTTGTAACTGATTAAACAATTACACCAAATGAATGCTAATTATTTGACTGATGTCTCTAGGAGGTAGGTTTCCAACATGTGCCATGGGTTTCCATCCTGTTAAACTTGTTTATTAATGACTGGGTGAATGACATGAGACTGAGAAGAAGAGGAAATATATCAGGGATAACATCATTGCAATGAAAGGTCCTCAACAAACTGACCTCACCTGATAACATTTACCTGGGATAATCATTCATCCATTCATTCTGCAGCAATTATCGAGCACCTGTTATGTGCCAGACATTATTCTGGGTGCTGGGGATACAGTAAATAAGAGAGACACATTTCTGCTCTCATAGGGCTAATGTAGTGAAGAGGATAGACCATAGCAAATCTCTATTTAGTGTATGACAGAAACACACTGGATGCTGTGGTGGATGGCAAGGGGGCTACTTCCGTAGTCAAAGAAGCACACATTAGAAGGGTGACACGTCAAGGGAGAGAGATCGGGCTGTGCAAAGGGAGTAGCAAGAGCCCTCAGGTGGGAATGCTTGTAGTATTCTAGGAACAGAATGACCAGAAAGGCCACAGCACAGTGTCTGGGAGGGAGCCTTCTGGAATGATGTGCGGGAGGTGGGCAGAGGTCAACTGCTGAAGACCTTGTACATCATGGTGAAGAATCTTACTTTTGGTCAAGCATGGTAGTAGCTCATGCCTGTAATCCCACCACTCTGGGAGACCAAGGCAGGAGAATTGCTTAAGGCCAGGGGTTCAAGAGCAGTCTGAACAACATAGCAAGACCCTGTCTTTGTAAAAAATAGGAAAACTAGCTAGACATGGTAGCGCACACCTGTAGTCCCAGCTACTCTGGAGGCCAAGGCAGGAGAATTGCTAGAGACCAGAAATTTAAGGTTGCAGTGAGCTATGATGACACCACTGCACTCTAACCTATGAACTCCCCCGTTCACCCACCCTTACCCTGTGTCTCTGCCCCAAATCACAAAACAATAACCTTCACTGTTAATTCACCAAGTCATCAGTGGATAGTAGCAGGTGAAGCAGGTGCAAAGGTAGTCCAAGATAGTAGCAGGTGAAGCAGGTGCAAAGGTAGCAGATGGCATCATAAACCCAGCTGGCTTTCAGCATGTTTGGGAACAGAATACTAGTCCCTGGGACAAGTCAATGGCTCCCACCAGTCCTAATCCTAAAGCAACTAGCCAGCCCAGCTAGGATCTCAACAAAATAGAAAAGACCAAAGCCCAGTAAAGACAATCTGGATACAATACAAAGTATTAGACTGAGCCTGGAGGATCTGATCAAGTAGCCTCCACAGTGGAGAGAGGATAGCTGAATACAGTGGGAATCTGGCAGGTTCTGACAACAGATGTACCACACCAGCTGTTTATTTTGGAAAACATAATTTAAAACTGTATTAGCCATGAATTCAATGGATCAGAATCAAAAAGAAATAAATTGCAAATTAAATTCATGTGATCAGACAATGAATAAAATAAATAGAAATAAAAAAGAAATAGTAAAGAAAAAAAAGGTCATTTTAATGTCTGGGGAATGCCATTCTTAGCTGGTTTGATAATAATTCTGCCAGCAAAGTGAAATGCAGAAGAGGTTCCCAAAAGGATTTTAAGAACTAAAGATTGTTAGGTCTCACATTCATACCAGGCCTTTTAGCAAACTCTATTAAGATAGGAATATTTAATTACTTAAATAATAGAACAGGATTACTTAAACAGATAAAACTAATTGAAGTAACATATGTTTCTAAGTGGAAAAATGTAAATTATATGATTCCCAAGAGTAGTGGAGCATTTTTTTATTGTAGACATAAATAATTGAAGAATTAAGTGCAGTAAAGACACCCAAACAGAGGTCACAAACTGGCATTTCAAATATGTGTTGGCAAGAATTAAGCCAACATTCAGCTATCTAGAAGTTTCACATAACAATATAAACTCCAACCTTGTCTAATGAAACAGGATGATTTGGCTCAGTGGTTTTGCTTGCCTGCTGTCCTAAATAGCCAGATCTGTGCGTGTTAGCTCAACAACTCACCGCAGGTCTGCCTGTCTGTCCTCACCCCCAGCTTGCTCACGATGTGACCCAGTCACCTCAGATATATTAAAGACACCTGTGTTTGGCTCGGAGCCTATAGCTCAACCGGCTAAGGCGCCAGCCACGTACACCTAAGGTGGTGGGTTCGAATCCCCAGCCCGGACCCGCCAAACAACAATGACGGCTGCAACCAAAAAATAGCCGGGCGTTGTGGCGGGCGCCTGTGGTCCCAGCTCCTTGGGAGGCGGAGGCAGGAGACTCGCTTGAGCCCAGGAGTTGGAGGTTGCTGTGAGCTGTAATGCCACGGCACTCTACCCAGGGGGACAGCTTGAGGCTCTGTCTAAAAAAAAAAAAAAAAAAAAAAGACACCTGTGTTTGACACCTCAGTCTCAAAAAAGGAAGCCCAAGCTACAGAGATAAGCTCCAGGAGATGTTCTCAAAGGCAGAGATGTGTTCCCCCAAAGTGCATCTGACTGCAGGGCAGCTCAGTGTCAGGGAAAGACAACCACCTCTGCCTCTGAATGTGCGGTGCTGACGACTTGGTGAATTTACAGTGGAGGTTATTGTTTCTGAGGCCACGTTTTCATGTTTATCTTCTCCCTTTATCTACATTCTTCAAGATGAAGAAGGACATAGAGATGCATAACCTGGCCAAGGGCTATTTGGCTGAACTTATCAAAGAAGAGTGCTGGAAATCCATGGCTGTGAAAGGCAGAGCTCTGAAGGTAACAGACAAAACCGCCAGGCACAAACCCTGGTGAGAATTGTCACTGAAGTCTCATGGTAGGAAGTTTTTAAAAATAAATACACTTAAGAAACTTTCTATGTAGCACAGCACAGAAAGCAAGCCCCGCCCCTTCCTGTACTGCACTCTCCCTAATGGGCCACTCTCCCGATTCCTTCCCTCTCTGCTCAGTCCCCAAGAACTTCCCAGAGATATTCCCCGCATCCGGGTCCTAATAGCTGTCTACTAAAAAAGGCCATCTTTATCACAGTCCACACAGATTGAAAGGCGGATGAAATCTTGTTCACCTTTCCCCCTGTGCCTGTCTTTCCTAAGGAGCTCTTTTACCTGCTTTTTCACTGGGATTCCTTCCAAGTGTGACCCAAAATCTCAGTTAATTCCTGTGGTCCTGCCATAACTATTAACAGCACCCTTTTCACTTTCAAATATGCTCCTAGTTTGGATAATGAATTCTAAGATCCCCCTGCATTTATATGATGGAGTGTTGCTCTAGAATAGGGTTTCTCATGAGCTGCACGCTTTGGGCTAGATCAGGTTCAGTTGCAGGGGCCCAGTCCTATGCATTGTAAGATGTTTGGTAACATCCCTGGCCTCAGTCTGCTAGGGACAATAGTATCCTTCACTCCCAGTAATGATAACAAAAAATGTCTCCAGACTTTGTCATGTGTCTCAGGGGAAACAGAGAGAGAGAGAGAGAGAGAGAGAGAGTGGGAGGTAGCAAAATTGCTCCTAGTTGAGATCCATTGCTCTAGAAATAAATCCTTCAGAAAAGCACAGGACTTTATATAGTTTATACCAATACTATTGGAAGACATTGTCTTATTTTAGAGGAGGTTTCCCTTGTCAGTTTTACCTATGTATGATAACCTGCAAGTTAATTTTAATCAGAGGAAACATCCCCCTACTCTGCCCTCAAATATACAATTGTACTTAAAATGGCTTTATTTCATCTTTTTATCCCCTAAGTGCTTCCATATCCCCTATGTGGTTGAGAACTTTCCAATGAAACTGCGCACAGATGAAGAGCAAAAAGAATTGGAGAGGGTTTTGCAGCAAAAGAAGATTGAAGCAGAATGTCTGAAAGTACAATTTTAAATATATTTGTGTTTATACAAGTGATGTGCTTTATTTTAAGGCCTCCTTCAGACAGATTTGAGTTGGGGTACAATTTAAGATAAGTTTAGAAATTGTATGTATATATATGTTTCTTGTTAATTTGTAGGCTATATTCTAATGAATAGAGGAGCCTATATCAATAAATCAAGGAGTCTGTATCCTATACAACACTGGCTAGCCCTCAAATGGAGGACATCTCTAAAAAATGAGATTTGGGATTTCATTCTTATCCTGCTCAGAGGTTGTCTTCATCCACTGATGCCCTTTTCATCTCCCTTATCACTAGGGATTGTGTTTGAAGATGATTGACCAAGGATGAAGTAGAATCTGTTTCGATGGAATTGTGGTTTTCCTAAACCCCAGATGTTTTAGCAGTAATCTTTGTCAAATCCCTTGGTATAGTTGTGTTTTACTAGTACTTTGAACTCACCCTTGTTCTAAAACAAAATGAAAGTGTACTTAATTCTTCTTAACCTTAACCCACCAGACCACTTTAAGCAAGTTTCTTTGTAAAATATGATGAGAAGATATATTTTTAATATGTGTATTAATACTTAAGTACCAAGAATTACTCAAAATACTTACAAGCCTATGTCGTCCTGACAGAAAATTATAAATATTGCATGCTCTCAAGGACAATTTGTGTTCCTTTGATTTATCTGCGCTTCATCAGTTTCTGAAGTTTTAGTCTCTTCTGCAGCAGTTTTGGGATCTATCCATCACTTTGAATTCAGTTGTTAGCCAGACAATTTAACATCTCCAAATGATTATTGAAATAATTAACTTGTCACAAAATTGCCCTTTAGTGAATTTTTGTTATTGCATAACTTACCTGTCATCTTTTTCTACATTTAGGTACGAAAGGAAATTATAGAGGTTCAGTCTGCAGTTAACTTGATTAAAAAGCATCACGAAGAGGAAGATGAAGAAGAGGAGGAAAACAAGACAGAGAAAAAAACCAACTTGCCCAATTACCTTCTTGGGAGTCTGAGCGCTGATTTTGGGGTAGACACCTCATTGTTGTCAAGCCAATTACAACTTCATACCAGAGAGGAAAAGATTAACCAAATTATATTACTAAAGGTAGGTAAATTGTTTTTATCCTCAAAAATCTCTGAAATTCCCCATCATGTGCTTTTAAGGGTCTCACATTGAAACCTAATGCTAAATGTGTCTTTAAAACAGAGAGGCCAGGTGCAGTGGCCATGTCTGTGATACAGGAACTTTGGGAGGCTGAGGCAGGAGCATTCCTTGAGGTCAAGAATTTGAGACCAGCAACATAGCAAGACCCCATCTCTACAAAAACATTAGCTAGGCATGGTGGTGCAGGCCTGTAGTTCCAACTACTTGGGAGGCTAAGGCAGGAGGATCACTTGAGTCCAGGAGTTTGTGGTTGGTGTGAGCTGTAGTGATGCCACTTCACTCCAGTTGGAGTGCATACATAGAGAAATATAACAATCACTAGTATGTGTGTCTTTTAGATAGAGCTTGTGTATGAAAGTTGATTTCAACCTTTTAGACAGGGTTTTGTGATACCAGGTTTTCTTTTCTTTTTTTTTTTTTTT